TCTTCTTCCTCCTCCTCCTCATCTTGTTCCTCCTCCTCATCATCTTGTTCCTCCTCCTCCTCCTCATCTTGTTCCTCCTCCTCCTCCTCCTCCTCCTCCTCCTCATCGTCATCTTCTTCCTCCTCCTCCACCTCCTCTTCATTCTCCTACTCCTCATCTTCTTCCTCCTCCTCCTCCTCCTCTTCCTTCTCCTCCTCTTCATCTTCCTCCCGTTCTGTGTATGCGGAGGTAGGGTGTCTAAGAGGGCTGAGATCCGTACTTGCTGTGTGTTTTGCCGGCGTCATGCAGGGCAAGATGTCAGGCAAGCATCTCACAGACCAGATGAAGCTGCACTTCATCGTGGAGGGCGTTGCGGGGAAATATGCATTCAAGGGATCGAAGCGGTGGAAGTGCAAGTACTGCGAGCACCGTTTCATTGGGACTGCGACGAAACTCACGAAACACTTCCTCGAAAAGTGCAGCCTTGACTATTGCACTACTGAAATGTCGGTGGAGGAAAGGGCGAGGAGGGAAGAGGGGATAAGGCAGGGGAAGTGGCTTGCTCGCGTGCTGACGCACGAAGAGGCACCAAGGGCCGGGCCCAGCAATTCGCAGACCGTCGCTGAAAACGTCCCTCAGTTTCGTAGCTTAGAGGTGGGTGCAGCGGGCATCACCGATGAAACACCCACGCCTCAATCGACTGCAGGCACAATTCCTGGATTGAAGGCATCGAAGGCAGTTCCAAAGGGACCTTTGCGGCAGACACTGATCGAGGAGGCCGACAGTGTTATCACGCACAACGAGCGGACGAGTCGGTTTCTTGACAGGTTTCTAACCTGCACAAACCAGCCGTTCAGTTTGGTGGAGGATGAGTATTTCCTGGAGTTCATTAACACGGTAAAGAAGGCCCATCCGACGTGGATGCCATGCAGAAGGGATGAGCAAAGGACGAAACGGCTGGACGCTGACTACGCGCGGGTTGCGGCGGAGGTGCGTTCGATGATCCCGAAGTGGAAGAAGTCCGGGTGTATGCTGCAGATGGACGGGTGGTCCGATCGCCGGAACAAGCCCCATCTGAATGTCATGGTGTCCTCGCCAGTCGGTACGGTCTTTTGGAAGTCAGTGTGCATGGAGGGCAAGGAGAAGGACGCTGAAGCTTAGTTTCGTGTCTTGGATGGGGTCATCAAAGAGATCGGAGCGGACGCAGTCGTTGGTGTCGTCATGGACAACGCAAGGGTGTGCGTCAAGGCAGGAAAGATGGTGGAGGCCGCCTATCCGAACATCTTTCGCGTCGGATGCACTGCGCATGCGCTCGATCTTGCGCTGGAGGACATGTATAAGCACATGCCTTGGATGGCGGAGGTGGTTGATGCCGGGAACAAGGTCGGCAAGTTTTTCACGAATGTGGACAAGGCGAGGGCCATGTTCCACAACTACTCACCGAAGACGAAGTTGAAGTGCCCTGCGGCAACCAGATTTGCCACCAACTTCACGATGCTCGGGTCTTTGAAGGAACTGAAGAATGCACTGGATCGCTGCGTTTGCGATGTGGGATGGGTGGAGAAGATGGTACGGGCAGAGCAATTAGTGGCGTTCAACGAGGTGACGGCCATCATTCTAGACAAGGGCGAGTTTTGGAGCAACGTCAACAAGGCGATCGATGTGATGCAGCCCGTAGTGGAGCTGCTTCGGCTGGTCGATGRACAAGGACCGACCATTTCRAAGGTGTACTTCAAAATGGATCGGGYTGTTCAGCKCATGCGTGCCCTGGAGTGCCTTTCAAGTGACGAGCACGAGGCGGTGGAGCGGATCCTCATGGACCGCTGGTCATTCATGACCAGCGAGCTGCATTGCGCTGCWGCCTTCYTGRATCCTGAGCACCGAATGCAGAACGCGCAGCGTGACCCGGAGGTTCGCGCAGGATTCAACATCTGGCTATACTCCTGGATGCCACGAGATAAGCGCAAGGAAGTGAGCTTCCAGGTTGACYAGTGGGTCAACGCTTTAGGAGGGTTCTCCAAAGAGGAGGCGCGCGAGCAAGCCAGCCAGCAGCCACCAGCTTTGTGGTGGGAGGCGTTTGGATCCAAACACCGCAAGCCATCAAATTGCTTGGCCAGGCAAGCTCCTCCGCTGCTTGTGAGCGGAACTGGAGCTTGCATGAGCTCATCTACGGGAGAAGGCGCACGAAGCTCATGCCGGAGAGGATGGCCAGGCTCGTGTACGACAGCTGGAATGTCCGCCTTCTGAAGAGCATTCGGCGCGGCGGGGGGGATGAAATCCACATCCCATGGGCGGATGACGTCCCGGTGGACAAGGAGATGGAGGACTGGTACGCAGATTGGCTGAAGCGTGTCCACAGAGAGGTGGAAGAAGAAGAGGTGGTTGTGGCAGACGTCGAAGACGAGGAAGACGACTTTCCACTGCGGCACACCTTCCAGCACAATGAAGCGGTTGACGAGAGGCTGTGTGAGGAGGAGGACTCTGTTCTCGTCGGTACAAGGGAGCGCGATTGGCACGAGTGCACGAAGCCCGGGAAATACCGTGAGCGTGAGTTGCGCAGGAGATCAGGCAACGAGCTGCCCATGCCTGAGGAGTTGTATACGGAGGAGGGCTACGCTCTTGCGTTGGCAGCTCGACGGGCGGGCACATGGGTGGAGGGTCGGGAGGAGGGACCACGGAAGGGGCACACAAACAAGGGCAAAGAGAAGCCCAGTGACAACGCACCCGTGCAGCGTGGCTAAAGGAAGGTTGTTGAGCAAGAACAACCACGACCGAAGAGGGGCCGTCCCACATTGGCGGAGTAGGCAGAACGCAGGGCAAGAAAGGCGGAAGAGAAGGCCGCCAAGGTAGCAGCTAATGCTGCCGCAACAAAAGCTGCGGCGGCCAAAGCCGTTGCGGCCAAAGCCCGAGCGTCGGCGAAAGCCGCCGCAAAGAACGCTGCCGCTGGGAAGACGAAGAGAGCCGCCATCATAAATGATGACGACGATGACGATATCCCGGAAGACATCCGGGGAGACGAAGAGCTCGAAGGCTCAACATCAACTTCTTCCAGCTCAAGTGACACATCTGATTCCTGTGGGGGGGAGGGAACGGAGGAGAGTGACGAGGAAGAAGGCGGTGAGAGTGAGGCGCAACCGGAGGAGAGCGAGGAGGAAGAAGGGGAACAGGCGGCGTAGGGTGCACCCGCTGTGCTGTTTTGGCAGACAAACTCAAGTTACTAAGCAATTCAAATGTTGAACTTGTGGATCTTTTTTATATAAGTTTTTAACTTTTTGTCAAGTTTTTTGTTGTCTTTCTCATTCTTTGCTGTGTGTGGTGCATCATCGATTGTTCATAGTTTGTTTTCTGTGTTTTTGTGATGCCATACCGCCGCTCAATTGCATGGATGCAATGAATGTTTGCTGCCGTGTTTCGTCTTCGCACTCCAAATGCAGGTGAGTGGGACACCCCCCCCCTTTCAACCACTCAAAGGAACAGGAAGAAAACAAAAGAACAGGAAGAAAATAAAACAGAGTTTCACTGTTTCACTAACTCTAACAACAACTACCTGGACCTGCGTGGACAGAACGGCACACAGGCCAGACCTGTGCTCGGGAAAAATGCACTGTCTTTAATGATTCGGCGCACTGTGCGCAGAGGTCCCGAGGCCCTGTACGCACAGCGCACCGCGCACAAGTGCGCACAGCGCACAGTGCGCTCACCGAAAAAAGGCCGCACTGCGCACAGCGCACCACACCAGGGCGTCGCAAGTATGGTTTAACACCATAGCCCGGCTATGGTGTTTTTTCTTGGAGCTTACCTTCCTATCCATAAAAGAGTTACTCTTGGTGCTGTAACTCCTATTTTTTTTAAGAGTTCACGAAGCTTTTCCGAGTCACACATAATCTGGCATGTTGCCTTTTAACATGCTTGTGTGATGCGTACTGCTGATCTCAGCTTCACGCTGATGTCGGCCTCTCTTTCCTTCCAATCCAATACGCGGGAGTCACAAAAATGAGTTATAATTGCACTACGGATCAAGATACAGTTTCGAATTGCAGTTCGGGCAATGTATACAACCAAGCTTTCTCGCCAGGTAGGGTGCCCCAAGTGCAATTGCCAACTGTGCATCTTGCCCCATAGTGCAATTGTAGCTTGGTTTTGTGACTACATGCCTTTTTTGAAACTCAACCTCAGCCTACTAGATGGGGTGATACGAGCATCCCCCTCTACCAGGCCTACCATGGGATGCTCCAATCTACTTGTGGGGAGCAGCACCTGCTGGAGACAAGGTCCTGGTCGCAGATACAACCTCAAAAACTGTGAACCTGGGCAATTACCTGGCTTCGGCTAGGTAGAAAAGATAACTGAGATGACTTCGTATGAGGTCTAGCTGTGGCCACTGGCCCGGTCCCTGGTTCCCTGGGGGCCACTGGGGTCCCAACCACTAGCCACCTTCTCTGAAATGTAGTATTTCCTAATACTTGGTACTACCTATTAAATAATTGCTTATTAAAAGTCAGGTATGTGACTCCTTTCTTCTTCTTCTTCTTCTTCTTCTTCTTTTCTTTTTTTTTTTCTTCAAAAAAACAAGGTTGTTGTAGAGGTTGGATTCTAGACATATGACAACCACCCTCAGCACTCAGCCATGTGGTCATCAGATGCTCTAGTTGCCTATTATTCCTATGAGACTCCCTCCCAACCCTTCAATTGTAAGATTTCTTCCGAGCCCACCCCTACTCCCACGATCCTACCTTAGTGTCCACCACTCAGGACTATCACCCTCCAGTCTTCTCTCGACGGGATGACCTGACCAGACAGTGATTGCAGATATCAGGGCTCAGCAATGCCCCACTACTCAGCCCCGATCGAAGAATAGTCGAACGATCCCTGTTGCATGGGTACTTCGAGCGCTAGCTATAGGAGTTTCTCTGCCAGTCGCAGGCCCAGTGTTCCTTACATCATTTGAAGTGACCCAAGCAAAATGAGCCAGTCACACAGGCCTGGCAGAAATCAGGGTCATCTCCCACAAACAAAAAAGGCAATCAAATCCCCTGATTACGAGGAAACCCTAATTGCAATCCCCTAACTACTAGAAAACCCTAACTATGGGTCTCGCTCCACTACTCTCCACTACATAATTTTCTACAATTTTGTACAGTTTTTCATCGCTTCACTAAATGCGTTGCTATTATGATGCGAGGACAGCGGGGGATTGCACGGGGCCAGCTGCGGATAAGTTGCGCTTAGCCAGAACTTGCTGTTGGGTATGACGGAGGCGGAGAGGTGATAGAGCGTTGTTGGGTATGGCGAAGGCGGAGAGGGGATAGAGCGTGTGGGCGCTAAGGTGGAGGCCGCTTCGAGGGCCACAACCATGCACCTGCCATTGCCTGATCTTGGTCGACGAGAGTTGGTAATCCGAGATTGGCCGCAGAAGGGGAGAGATGTGGGGTTGGTCAACGGGCAAGATCTGCGCATCGTACATATCAGTATTATCACCTGATCAGCACACGCAGTTATCGGGTAGTTGAAAATTCAGGAATGAAAATTTTGAAGTGAGAGTTTTGGGCAATCTGAAAATCCTGAATGGTCCTGAAGTGGTGAAAGGTCCGAAGACCCTGAAAACCACCTGTTTAGGCAAGCTGCATCCTAAAGTGGTGAAGGGTATCCTGAAGTGGTCAAGTGAGAGTTTTGGGCAGTCTGAAAATCCCGAATGGTTCTGAAGTGGTGAAAGGTCCGAAGACCAAGAAAACCACCCTTCACCACTTGAGGATGCAGCCTGCCTAAACAGGTGTTTTTCGGGGTCTTCGGAGTTTTCACCACTTCAGGACCATTGAGGATTTTCAGACCTGAATGGTCCTGAAGTGGTGAAAGGTCCGAAGACCCTGAAAACCACCCGTCTAGGCAGGCTGCATCCTCAAGTGGTGAAGGGTGTCCTGAAGTGGTGATGAAAAATACGGCTGTTGTTAACCTTCTCCCCTGATCAGGGGCTTTGCCCTCTGATTACAGATACGGAACATGATCGTGTTGCAACGGCGGTTGCAGTTGTATCCGTGCGAAGAGTTGGAACTGAAGGACAAGAGCGCACCGACAAACGTCGACTTCTGGGAGAGAGAGAACGTACTTCATGCCGTGACCAGCATCGCCCACCGTCGCTGACAACGGGTTTCAAGTTGCGACCGGGGTTGTCCATTGTTGTCTTAGCTCCTACTGCTCGTGATTCTCTTACCTTTGGTGCTTGCACAAATTCTTCATTGTGTTTTTAGATTCTAAATCATTTGGTTGTGTCTTCTCAGTATAGAATAGTACCAATCAAGGTTGTTTGGGAACTTTGGGTGTATAATTGGTCTTTGTGGACTGGTAATTCTTTGACTTTGATTGTCGACAATCAGGGTAGCGATACTCGCTATGTAAGATCGATGCTCATTACGATCGTGATTTTCAAAGATTGGCGAAGCTCTGCTACCTTGTTGCTGGTTGGCGGTGTGAATTAGAGGTATATAGAGTGTAGAGTGTGAATTTTGTGAATGGTCGTTGCATTTGCCCGTGGGTTGGTCCACCACATGGGTTGCTGATTTGGATTTTAGTTGGGGTTGCTGATTGGAGGTGCATAGGGTATAGAGTTGGAACTTGACGTTTGTGAATCATTTTGGGATTCTGTCTGTGGGTAATTAGGATTAGATCATTGACAATGATCTTGTTTTTGCATTTGGTTGGTGATTTGTTACCTGGCTTGGATTTTGCTAGATTAGGGTTGCTTAATACGACGGTTTAGAGAAGGGGTGGATTAGGATTTCAGTTTCTTAAATTAGGGAACGCGATTCTTGTCTTAAGGTTGGGATTGGGATTGGTTGTCATGACCTTGTGGGGCTGCGGTAGGGATAGGTTTGGCCGAGAGTGCCTGACTGAACTGTTAAAAAAGGTCAGCCCGAGTTTGAAACTCGGGCCCTGACTAAACTGCTAAAATGCAATTACAAACTATAACCCTTACTACGCCGTAGTTCTCTCTTTTTTTTTTTTTAATGCCAGGAAACGGGCCTGGCGTCCCTCACAAAAATTCTTTGATCTAGTTTAAGGGCGAGACATCATCGCTCAAGCCCAAAAACGTGGCCAATACACACCACAAAACCCCATGTCGAAAAAAATATCACAGGCCTCAGCGTCACATCGAAATTCGTTACCAGATTTACAAAATAAAAATAAAATTTTAAAATTTTTATTTTTTTATTTTTAACTTGTTTTTGCCCTGGCCAGGCAAGTGGTCCAGGGCCACTCTGGTACCCTAGGTTTTCTGACATGGGATTTGTGGTGCACGGAGGTCAAGTTTTTGGGCTTGGCCGGTGATGCCTCACCCTTAAACAGGACTGCAGAATCTTTGTAAGGGACGCCAGGCGCGATTCCTTGCATTTAAAAAAAAAAAAAAAAAAAAAAAAAAAAAAAAGTTGTTATAGGAAAAAAAAATAACATATAATCGAGAAATGGCCACCAGCAACTTCATCTATTTGAACCAGCATCGGATGTGCGGTCCAATGGTGCGGGGAACCCTTTCTGTGATGATTGGAGGACCGGCCAGCCAACCTCTCTGTAATGAGGGGCCGCCCAGCCCACCTTTTTGTAATGATAAAAGTAAGGGGAAACTACGCGGCAGTCACGAAAAAAACGAGTTCAAATCGCACTATGGGGCAAGATACCATTTCGAATTGCAGTTCGGGCAATGGATACAACCCAGCTTTCTGGCCAGGTAGGGTGCCTGAAGTGCAATTGCAAACTGTATCTTGCCCCAGACTGCAATTATAACTCCTTTTAGTGACTCCACTGAAGTTACCCCTTTTATTTCCCCAAATGCACTTTTCAGTGTTGGGGGTGTTAACCTGGGGCTGAAAAGTTGGGGTACCTGTTAACCACTTGTGAGAAAGTGGTACTTAATTGGGAGGCTTTTTGACACACATATTGTAGTGACTTGGTAGAGTTTGAATAGTGGGAAAAAAAAAAGTCGGCTGTTCTTATGAATGTCTTAGGACTCTAGGGACTCTTAGCAACCCATCTTAGGCGGTTTCGATGTTGTCATACTCAGTGATCTGCGGCTGTTCAATGCCAGAACGACGCTGGCCGGTGCTGGGGTGTTGCCCTGTAACCTGCTGATGCCGGAGCGTGAGGCCTGGTAGAGAGATCTGGGGATGCTTTGGGGTGGGCATCCCAAGGGACAGCCAAGGGTTGCTGCTGGGACGACGCTGGTCGGAGCTGGGGCGAGTTGTGTTGCCCTGTAACCCAGCAGGGTGGGGGCGTGAGGTCTGGAAGAGCTCAGCAGGGAGTAAGTCTGTTGGAAAGTCTTAGAACGGCTTGTTAGGGATCCTGAGGGCTGTGAGCATTCGTAGGACCTCTGTGGTAACCTATTGCATGAGTAGTTCCTTAATAGGTCATTATATATTC